TTAATTAAAGAGATATTGAGATAGCCATTTGATTTGACCCTCATTGAAAATTCTCGGTAGTTTGAAATGCTCCCATCTTGAAGAATATCAAACTTCTCATACATTTTATTTCCATTCACATATATATCAAAGACTCTTTGACCAGATCGCACATTGGTATCAAGCTCAAGGAAAAAAAGAATGATTAGATAATCATCATGGCTCATGTCAAGATCAGTATGAAGAAATTGCAACTTTTCAGCATTCATTGCAGCAGTCTTGAGGACTTCAATAGGTACTGAACTTTTAGCACCTCGGAGAGAGATATCAGATGATCTTAAAACACTATTATTCCCTGAATTTGCATCAATACTCCAAATACGATCAGCTCGATCAGTTGGATATCTGAACATATACATATATTTCTATTCAATTATATTGAAATAATTTATGTGCAAGTGGTATTTGGTAGAAGAAGACAAGGGAAAGATTAAAAAGGAATACCTGAAAGTAAAATCTTTATTTCCCAGATCAACGCGGCCTATCAACTTCAATATGGAAGATGAGCTTCCATTAAGATAAATGGAATCATTTAATGGCCTAAGCTCAACTTTTGAAATGTAAGCATTTCCATTCCCTTTTAGTAAGCAAATATTTGTATGGTTCCCTGTAGCTACAAAGACAGCTTCAACTAGTTGAACATTGAGAGACGAATTGATCTGTGACATAGAAGTCGCTCCAATAGACAAATTAAAGGCAGTTCCTTTCATGGATCGAAAAAATAGGCCGTTTAGGAATGCAGATCTTAAGATGTAATCCCGTCCCTTAACTGTTGGAAGATCAAAACACCACCTGTTTCGATGATCATTGCCAAAGATTCTAGCACTTACAGTGGAAAGATGATGTGTAGAAAGACCGGATACGTTATTGCAAATTCCCACACCATCTAATAGATAATTATCCGAAGTGTAAGTTATCGTCGTACGCGGGTCAGTATATTTTGATGTTGAACAGCACTGAATGCTCACAAAGCCTGCATGTTGATCATGAGATAGATGTTTAAGTACATACTACATAAACTCTAGAAAATTATTTCTTGGATACGTATTTAAGAACTATATATTGTTATCTGTTGGGTGTTTGTACTTCCATCTCTTTATGTACTGCACTCCATTTTTAATCCCTGATCGAGTTTGTTTTCTTAACATCTTTTAAATGGAATGCAAGGGAAATTTTTACTCAAAAAGCAAAATGTTAATAAATGTTCATAATCCTTTTGTGAGATTTAGATCACATGCCTTTGACTTCTTTACTGACTTAATTCAGGCCTATTTCTGTTTCAATACCCATGTACGTACTGTCACACTTCAACCTAATCCGTAAATTATCTAACAAGTTTCTTGCTTAATCAACAATCATGGTAACAGATAGAGAAATCTCATTACCACCGGCAGCATAAAATTACCTCGTTGAGCAACGGACGAATTAAGAACTAACAAGAGCGACAGCAGCATCAAACATGGTAACTTGATCATGGCAATCAATCAATAAAGCATCCGTCGCCGGCAGTGGCCAGGGCCACCACCGATCAAGGAACCCCCAAAGCATCCATCTCCGATCAATGGCTACAACATAAAAGTCCACTCCTCTCTCTCTCTCTCTCTCTCAATTTTTTTCCCCTTTCTTTTTGTTTTTTCTCCTCTCTGTTGTCCACTGTAGGATACAAAGAGACAAAGAAGCGAACCTAAAAAAGAACGACAGAGTCCACGAAGGGGAAGCTTCTTTCTGCTGCTGCTGCTAGTTTTACTGCCTCAACTGCTCCCCTAGCGTCAGTTGGCTGTTAAAATAACGGCTTCGCTCTTGTGATTGATTTGTGATTTTTATTGGGTTCAAATAGAGGCCGAGTCAGAGGGACGATGGATTTCCATGTTGAAAAGGCCAGGCCCAAAAGCAAAAGTTTGTGTTTCTGTTTGGCTAAATTTCAGAAAACCCCCTTAACTTTGGACAGTTGTCAGATAACCCTCTATGACTTTCAAAATATCAGGAAACCCCCTTAAAATTTACGGCCTATCAGAAAACCTCTTTAACTTTAGCAATTTATCAGAGGATCCCCCTCACAGCGCCAGCCACATATTTTGCATGGGTGGGTAAAGTTGCAAGAGATATCTTTGTCTTTGAATACCGTGGTTCACGCTTTTAGAGGGGTTTTCTGAAAAGAAACCTTAAACTGAATGTGTTTTTGATAACCCCTAAACTTAAAATGTGTGTTTTCTGATATTTTGAAAGTTATTGGGGGTTAACCGATAATGCTCCAAAGCTAATGGGGCTTTTCTAAAATTTAACGTTTCCGTTTCCATTGGGTTTTCGCTGGTGGTGGACAATAGGTTTTATGCACGTTAGCCCTAACTATCCTCAGTGTTGCAGTCTATACCAACTTCGATGTTAGGAACCTATATATCCACAATATATTGTGTACTCATAGGGCTAACTTTCTGTAAGTTTCCTCCTTTTATGCGATCTTCAGATGCATTCTCGCTCAATCTACTGGATTAAGATTTTAAAGGTCAATAATAAGTTAGCCCTGGTTTTGTTCACTGCACGTCATCGATGTCGCTACTGTGAGATTTCAATGGGCTTGTTTGCGGGATTGAGAGTGAGTAATCACAATTAGCGACCGCGATATTATTCTTGACTCTATTGAACAGATATCATGAATATGCTTACACATTAGTTACTGTCATACGTCAGACATCAGAATGCTACGTGTTTTCATTTAAAAAAAAAAACACTGCTGTATCTTGTGGTTAAATGTACTAAACTCTCATAAAACGTCTTCTCGCAAACTGAATTGCGATGTGCGTAACGCATTCGTTTTCTGTTCTTCTGACAGCTATTTGGACTGGACCAACTGCAAGATCCCTTGTGCGATTTCCTTTAGCCAGTAATTTTGGGTCAACAGCTAACAACACTCAGAATGAGGATCATAAAATGACCTTGTTGAGCAACTGTTTTTTAATTAAGAACTGACAAGAGCGACAGCAGCAGTGGAACTAGCAGCAGAGGGAGGTCGATAGATTCAGAGTTCAGGCTCAGGTTTCAGACTGAGCGGGTGGCGGTCGACCGGTCCGGTCAACCGCATTCGTGCACTAGGCTTACTGTGCGGCAGAGTTGGTGTCGGTCGACCGGACCGCTCGACCGCAGATGTTTCTGTTTTGTGGTCGGTCGACCGGTGCGGTCGACCGACAAACTCTCTGGACTTTTGGGATTTCCAGACCCGTTTCGGTTGTGAGTTGTATTTAAACCCTAAACTCGTTTCTAGGGTTAAGCTTGGGCGATTTTGAGCTGCTGAAAGAGGATTAAGAGGGCTTCTATTGTTGGAGTCTATTGGAGAGATCAAATGGTCTTATTTTAGGGTTTTGGGTAAGATTTGTAACCCTAATTTGTATTCCCATTTGATTTCATTAGTAAAGCTTCCCCCTCCTTGCCCCGTGGACGTAAGCATATTGCCGAACCACGTATATCTTGTGTACTTGTTGTGATTGGTTGGCTTGTGTGCATTGTGGTCTACTATTGTTCTTGTGTGTGCTTTTGATTTGGCTAATTGGGACTTCCGCGGCGCACAACAAGTGGTATCAGAGCTCCGGGTTGGATTTGGGAGTTTATTCGAAGGATTCATTGTTGGGTTCTTGTTGGGAGAGTAGATCTATAATATGGGTGATACAAGCAGGGCTAGTTCAAGTGCTACTAGTACATCGGGGTCGGCTTTGACAAAGGCGATCCAAAATTTGAGCATCAATAACACTAAAATTGATGTCCCAAAGTTCGACGGCAAGATTAACTTTGGTTTATGGAGGTGTCAAGTAATGGACGCCTTAGATGCACAAAACTTGGAGGAGACCCTTGAGTTTCAAGAGAAACCCGAGGAGATTGATGATAGGGTTTGGAAGAAAATGCACAGTAGGGCTTGTGGGGTTATTCGGTCATGCCTAACGCCGGATCTCATTTATGATGTGATGAACGAGACTTCGGCAAAGAGATTGTGGGAAACGCTCAATGAAAAATATTTGACAAAAAGCATTGAGAATCGGCTTCACTTGAAGAAGAGGTTCTACCAATTCAAGATGAAGAGGGGAGTTTCCGTTCGAGAGCATGTTAACGACTTCACAAAGCTAATTTCGGATATGGCCAATGTTGATATCATGGTGGAGGATGAAGACAAGGCGATGTTATTATTGTGTTCGTTGCCGGATGATGAATTTAGTACCTTTGTTCTCACTATGATTAATGGGCGAACTACAGTTAGCTACAAGGAGGTGACCTCGGCATTGGTGAATTATGAGCTGAGGAAGAATGACTGTGAGCCCTCCGAGAAGGCATCGGGTGATGCACTTGCAGTTCGAGGCCGTAGTCCAAACCGCCAAAAGTTCAACCGCTCAAAATCAAAGAATAGGGGTGGCCATAAAAGTGTTGGTAGAAATCAATGTGCCTTTTGTAAAGAAGAGGGACATTGGAAGAATGAGTGCCCAAAGTTGAAGGATAGAGCCAGGAAGCAAAGGGGGAAAGCTGTACAAGCTTCAGAGGTGAATGTTGCTAAGGTTGTTAGCGACACTTCAGATTCGGATTCTTCCGATTATTCTTGTCATGCACTGCCGTCAGTTTGTTATGTCGATTCTACGGAGTGGATGCTTGATTCGGGAGCTACATTTCATATTTGCCCTAAGAGGGATTGGTTTACCAACTTTGAGGAGTTGAAGAGAGGAGACGTGGTGCTCATGGGGAACGATCACGTTTGTCCTATTAGTGGGATTGGCTCAGTCAGAATCAGAATGCATGACGGGGTGACTAGGGAATTGAAAGATGTGAGGTTCGTGCCGCAGTTGACGAAGAACCTCATTTCTCTTGGGACTTTGGAGGCATCCGGTTATAGAGTGATCTTAGAAGATGCTAGTTTGAAGGTCATGAAGGGGTCCATGGTGGTGATGCGAGGTGTCAGGGAAAACAACCTATACTACTTGAAGGGGAAGAAAGTTACAGGGGGTCTGGCAGCTTCTATTACCACAGAGGAGGACACTACCACACTATGGCACATGAGGCTTGGACACACAGGTGGAAAGTCCCTACAGTCATTGGCAAAACAGGGGCTACTGAAAGGTGCAAAGACCTGCAAGATGGATCTGTGTGAGCATTGCATACTTGGGAAGAAGACTAAAGTGAAGTTTGGCATCGCAATTCACAACACACAAGGTATATTAGACTACATTCACACAGATGTTTGGGGCCCTTCTAAGCACACATCGCTTGGTGGGGCAAATTATTTCGTCACTTTCATTGATGATTATTCCAGGAGGAATTGGGTATATACTATGAAGCATAAACATGAGGTCCTGGATATATTTGTGGAGTGGAAGAAGAAAGTGGAGCTGCAGACAGGTAGAAAGGTGAAGACTCTTCGTTCAGACAATGGTGGAGAGTATAAGAGTGATCCATTTCTGCAGTTTTGCCGGGATCACGGCATTAGAAGACACTTCACAGTTAGAGAGACACCGCAACAAAATGGGGTGGCAGAGAGGCTGAACCGTACCTTGCTGGAGAAGGTGCGATGTATGATGACGCAGAGTGGATTGGCTAGATCTTTTTAGGCCGAGACGTTAGTTTATGCGAGCCATCTCATTAACAGGTTGCCGTGCACTGCGATAGAGGGGAAGACTCCTTTGGAGCGTTGGTCTGGTTCTGTGGCTAGTGATTATGAGACTCTTCGGATTTTTGGGTGTCCAGCTTATTTCCATGTTAGTGATGGGAAGTTGAATCCGAGAGCGAGGAAGACTATCTTTGTGGGATTTAGAGAAGGTGTAAAAGGCTTCAAATTATGGGATCCACAAGACAAGAAGATGATCATTAGCAGAGATGTCACGTTTATGCGAGCCATCTCGTTAACAGGTTGTCGTGCACTGCGATAGAGGGGAAGACTCCTTTGGAGCGTTGGTCTGGTTCTGTGGCTAGTGATTATGAGACTCTTCGAATATTTGGGTGTCCAGCTTATTTCCATGTTAATGATGGGAAGTTGAATCCAAGAGCGAGGAAGGCTATCTTTGTGGGATTTAGAGAAGGTGTAAAATGCTTCAAATTATGGGATCCACAAGACAAGAAGATGATCATTAGCAGAGATGTCACATTCGATGAGGCGTACATGATGAAGCCTCGAGTTCCTCAGCAGGTGGAGGAAGATCAGACAGGAGGGATATCGCAGCAGGTGGAGGATGATGTGACTCCACCCACTCCAGTTGGCACTGTTCCTTTGGAGGATACAGTTGATGGTGAGGCTCAGGAGCAGGGTCATGCTCAGGGGTCCATTGCAGCAGATAGACCGAGGAGAGAGATTCGTCGGCCAGCTAGATATGATGATGTCATGGTGGCATATGCTTTATCGATGGAGGTCGTTGATGATTTGATTCCTGCCACATTCAGGGAGGCAGAGTCCAGCCCTAATTCTATTAGGTGGAGGAATGCCATGGAGGAGGAGATGCAATCTCTTCAGAAGAACGACACTTGGGAACTTGCAAAGCTACCGAAGGGTAAGAAAGCTATTGGTTGCAAGTGGGTGTATGCTAAGAAGGAGGGATCTTCTATTGGGGACATTCGGTTCAAGGCCAGATTGGTTCCCAAGGGATATGCACAGCTTGAGGGCGTTGACTACAATGAGGTGTTTTCACTCGTTGTGAAGCATTCGTCGATTCGGATACTATTGGCGTTGGTGGCACAGCTGGACTTAGATTTGGTCCAAATGGACGTGAAGACGGCCTTTCTACATGGAGACTTAGATGAGGAGATCTACATGACACAACCTATGGGGTTTAAAGCTGCAGGAAGAGAAGACTTGGTGTGCAAATTGAAAAAATCTCTTTATGGACTGAAGCAATCACCGCGACAGTGGTACAAGAGATTTGATAGCTTTATGATTGGCCGAGGGTACACGAGGAGCCCTTATGACCCGTGTGTTTATATGCGTAAGCTACAGGATGGTGAGCACATTTATTTGTTATTGTATGTTGATGATATGCTCATAGCTTCCAGGAACACTTCAGCTATTGGGAAATTGAAAAAGGAGCTGTCATCTGAATTTGAGATGAAGGACCTGGGAGAGGCTAAGAAGATATTGGGTATGGAGATTGAACGAGACAGGATGAAGGGGAGATTGAAGCTTACACAGAAGAGTTACTTGCAGAAGATGCTGAAGAAATTTAGTTTTGAGGGTAATACCAAGGTGGTGAGTACTCCATTAGCTCCCCACTTTAAGCTTTCAGCTTTGATGTCACCAGTTTCAGTGGAGGATAGGGACTACATGTCCAAGGTTCCATACGCCAGCGCAGTGGGTAGCTTGATGTATGCTATGGTGTGTACTAGGCCAGATTTGTCACAGGCCGCGAGCATGATATCTAGGTACATGCACAACCCCGGGAAGGGGCATTGGGAGGCCGTGAAGTGGATTCTACGGTATATTAAGGGTACTGTGGATGTTGGGTTGATATTTGCGAAGAATGATGAGACAGGGCAGGATTGTATTGGCTACGTGGATTCAGACTACGCCGGAGATCTTAACAAGCGTCAGTCCACTACAGGTTATGTTTTTACATTGGCTAGTGCACCGATGTGTTAGAGATGTACTCTTCAGTCTACAGTGACGTTTTCTACTACAGAGGCGGAATATATGGCGGTGACTGAAGCAGTGAAGGAGGCTTTGTGGCTACATGGCTTGTTGGATGATTTGGGGATTGCACAGGAGACCATTCAGGTACATTGTGATAGTATGTCAGCTATCTATTTGGCGAAGAACCAAGTCTACCATGCACGCACGAAGCACATTGATGTCAGATTTCACTTTGTACGTGATGTATTGGATGATGGTGATGTCACGTTGGAGAAGGTCCACACTAAGGACAATCCTGCTGATATGTTGACCAAAGTCGTACCAGGTGTGAAGTTTGGTCATTGTTTGAAATTGTTGAATATTCTTCATTGTTGAGGCCGTTGGTGGCCATTTGGATGAACTACGTTCGGCTTGATTCCTTAGGCAAGAGGATACGTAGGCAGTCTTGCAGATGCAGCCGGTTAAGTTGATTGGGGGTGCTTTGGTGTCGGCTCAGTTTATGGCAAACGCTCGCCGAGGTGGAGATTTGTGGAACTAGCAGCAGAGGGAGGTCGATAGATTCAGAGTTCAGGCTCATGTTTCAGACTGAGCGGGTGGCGGTCGACCGGTCCGATCGACCGCATTCGTGCACTAGGCTTACTGTGCGGCAGAGTTGGTGTCGGTCGACCGGTTAAGCTTGGGCGATTTTGAGCTGCTGAAAGGGGATTTTGAGGGCTTCTATTGTTGGAGTCTATTGGAGAGATCAAGTGGTCTTATTTTAGGGTTTTGGGTAAGATTTCTAACCCTAATTTGTATTCCCATTTGATTTCATTAGTAAAGCTTCCCCCTCCTTGCCCCGTGGACGTAGGCATATTGCCGAACCACGTATATCTTGTGTACTTGCTGTGATTGGTTGGCTTGTGTGCATTGTGGTCTACTATTGTTCTTGTGTGTGCTTTTGATTTGGCTAATTGGGACTTCCGCGGCGCACAACAAGCAGCAAACATGGGAACATGATCACGATAACCAGTCAATAAAGCATCCGTTGCCAGCGAAGGCCATGGCTGCCACCGATCAAGAGAACCCCAGAGCGTCATCCATCTCCGACCTATGGCTACAATACAAAAGTTCAATCTTCGCTCTTTCTCTCTCTCTCTTTCTTTTTTTCCCTACTTTCTTTTTTTCCCTTTCCTGTCTGTTGTTCACTGTAGGAAACAAAAAGACGATAAGCGAACCTAACAAAACTGCTCCCAAAGTGTTAGTTGGCTGTTAACATAACGGTTTCGCCTCTTATCATTGGCTTGAGATTTTTTCTTGGGGGGCGGCTGCGCGAGTTGTAGGCAGCGGGGTGTTCATATGGAGGCGAGTAAGAGGATCTGATCCCTACAATGGGATTTCCTGTTGAACCAGGCCCAAGAGAGGCCGAGTAAGAGGATCTGATCTTTATAATGGAATTTCCTGTTGAACCAGGCCTAAGAGAGACCGAGTAAGAGGATCTGATCTTTACAATAGAATTTCCTGTTGAACCAGGGAAGAGAGGCCGAGTAAGAGGATCTGATATTTACAATAGAATTTCCTGTTGAACCAGGCCCAAAAGAGGCCGAGTAAGAAGATCTGATCTTTACAATTGGAGATTCCTGTTGAACCAGGCCCAAGAGCTTGTTTCGTTTGGCAAAATTCCAGCCCCCCCCCCCCCCTCCCTCAAAAATGCTATAAAATCCTCTAATTTGACCGATTGTCGGATAATCCCCACAGCTTTAAGTTTAGGGGCTATCAGATAAATGCCCTTTTAACCTTCATGAATTTGTCAAAAAAAAAACTAACAGTCATCTGCATTTTCCATGACTGGAGCAAAGCACACAGAGGACACCTTTGGCAGGATACACTGATAATCTCTGAAATAATTCAGGGTTACTTGATCACCATCCAAAGTTAATGTCCATCCGCGTGTTGCTGTGTTTTTTCTCTTTTTCTTTTATGTGTGTGTGGTGTGTGTGGGGGGGGTGGTTTTGTGGGATATTACAGGCTAGTTACCTACTTTGATATCAAGAACTTATATCCAAAAGATAATAAGTGCGCTGTTCCCGCTCAAAATAGGACTAGCCTTTCCAAGAATTTCCTTCCTTTTTGCGATCTTCGGATGTATTCCCGCTCAAACTACTGGATCATGAAGGTTAATAAAAAGCTAGATCCACTTTTTATGCGGTAAGTCATCAATATCGTTACTAAAAGATTTCAATGAAAAGCTTGTCTACGGGATTGAGAGTCAAGAGTAACCCGTTCCCAATCTTAGACCCTCTCGTGCTCAAGTTAGTATTTGGAACACGAATATCTAAGAATGAATTTAAACGCAAGTTTGTAATGTAGCATGCTTAAAATTGTCAATAATCTAAGTCAGTTAATAGTGTTGGTGGACGACATATAATCTTGTGTCGGGTTGTTAAGGCTTTATCATAAATGTTGACAACTTCAATACGTGACTTTTTTTTGGTTATTATCGAAGAATAGTTGTAAGGTTGTCGTCAATGGTACCCCCATTGCAAGCTGGCTCAGTAAAAATTCCCAAGGGAGCTTCTAACAACCGCAATATTACTGATTACTCTCGACTCTACAGAACAGAGATCAGAATGCTATATGCAATGTCACCAATTACTTGTCATGTGTTTAGATGTCAGAATGCTGGATGTTTTCATGAAAAAACAATACTGTTGTTTCTGGTGGTTGGTTACATGTACTAAAATCCTCATGAGGTATCTTTTTACAAACTGAATTGCGATGTGCATAATGTATTCATTTTCTGTTCTAACAGCTATTTGAACCAACTGCAAGATCCGTCGTGCGATTTCCTTTTGCCCCTAATTTGGATCAACAACTAACACTCCTCACTACTTAATACCCTATGCTACAATCAGATCAAATATAAACCTAAACCAACAAATGCATTTGTATGCATGCTGATTGCTGATTCATGAAATATATATTTGATTAGCCAACAACAAAAGAAAAAGGCCAAGCATTCACATATCTATTTTGCTTCATAGGCAACCGAGTGATCAGTGACGGATCTATAACATTTTTTGTGGTGGTTCAAAATATACACTAAATTTTTTTCTCAAATAATAGCAGGTGGGAAAAAAAATGAAGTAAGGGTTATTAAAGAGAAAAACAATCATTTTTAAACAATGATTTGACTTATATATATAAGAAACAAAAATATTTATAGAAGGCCTTAAAGAGCTAGACAGAACAAAAGGATAAAATGAAAGGAAAAGAAGAAGAAGAAGAAGAAGAAGAAGAAGAATAGAGGGGAGGTAAAAGGAAAGAAGCCTAAAAGAGAAATTTTCGAAGGCTGGATGGTTTGAACTCCAGACATCTTACAAAATGTTACCAACTACAATACCACTAGGCTATAGGGAACTTTTGTATGAGGTGGTTCAAGTGAACCACTTTGAACAAGGGTGGGTCCGCCACTGCGAGTGATGCAGATATCATCTCAGAAGCAAGACATAAAGTAGCCAGCAGGCAAACAAGAAGATAAATTGATCAACAAACAAACTAAGAAGGCAAGCAATTGGCATGCTGCCAGGCCTGACCAAAAAAACTGTTCATCACACGAGAGATAACATCTGCATCATCACCTCAAAAGAATTTGCCATACGAATACGATCCAACTCAATTCTTCATCATTGAAACTTGCTACCTGGGATAAAAAGGTGAACATCCAAGTAATAGGAATACAAGACAAATGTGAAATACTACACGTACACTTATACGACATTTAATTATTACAGGATACCTAGTCAAGTGATAGTTGAGTTAATAATCAACTACACTCGCTGAATTCTTGGTATTCAAAATCTGGATAGCTTCTGCTTATTCAGTTTCCATTCGCTGCAGGAATGAAGATTATAGCATCATTCTGGCTCTTTTGGAAGACTTTTTGATACTGGATCATATTATTTATCTTCCTGCTAATCTGCCCATTATTTGTATATCACCATGATAAACGATATAAAGGGTTTCCCTGATAATTTTCACTTTATTATTTAGAGAGACAGATAATAACACACGTCAGATCTCAAAATACACAGATATACACACACAGAGAAATGCAATGTTTTCAAGTACGAAGTAGAAGAGTTTACTAAGTAACTGATGTTTGTTGTAAGCAATCTGAGATGCTTTACTCACAGATAAAATTTATTGACTGTTCTAATCCTGATTGTGTGTGGTTGTCTTGTTTCTGCAAAATCAAATATCCCTTGCTATTAAAGTCTCATTTAGGTTATTCCTTATTGAGTTGAAATTAACTCCTTGTATATCTGTTGTTCACTGTTTTAAAAAGCATCCGCCTAGTCCGTCTAGGCATACGCCTAAGCCTAGGCAGTACCTAGACTGTCTAACTAGCGCCTAGCACCGAGGCGGTACCTAGACTGCCTACCTAGGCTTTGGGAGTGTTTAGGGGAGCATTGTCTGCTTATGTGGACTGCACCATTTAGGCCTTGACTTTGACTTTCTCTGTTGCAGCCTTCACGTCCTCCAACCTTATTCAAACTCCTTTAACCTCTAAATATGAACATCTCCACTACCTTCTTTGACCTTCAGCAAAACCTCCTCGACCACCATTTAAATGAAGAAATAAATCTACCTAGACACCAGCCCGACACCTAAACTTTCTATAACATTGACATGTACTATCAATTATTGTAAAAAATTAAAAAAGAAAGCATCCTAGGCTCTAGGCGTTGGATCTAGCGCCTAAGCCTCCTAGTGCTTTATATATCTTTATTATTTTGGCTATTTAGTATTTAAGTATGTATGTTTTACTGTGGATCTAAGATTGCTATCTTTTTCTTACAAGTTTATATGAATTTAATACATATTTTTATCAATCACTATAATTAAATAATTTTAAAAATAGTCAAACGCCTAAGCACCACCTAGGTGTACGTCTAGGCGTTTAGACGCTAGACGCTGACTCAAACGCCTAATCCGCCTAGCGTTTTCTGTAACATTGTCGTTGTTATACAAAAAGATTAAAATAAAGTTCTCTCTCTATATATACATATATACATACATACATACATATACATACAGACTCAAACGCCTAGTCCGCCTAGCGCCTTCTGTAACATTGCTGTTATTATACAAAAAGATTAACATACATACATACATACATATACATACAGAACGCCTAGTCTGCCTAGCGCCTTCTGTAACATTGCTGTTGTTATACAAAAAGATTAAAATAAGCTATATATTATAATATAATATATATATATATATATATATATATATACATACATACATACATACATACATACATACATACATATACATGTTGCAAGATTCTTGAGTGTGGAACTCATGGAAATGATGTGATTATATGGGTCATAATATAGGGTTGTAAATTATGGAATTGATGGGATCATAGACCAAAAGAGAACAATAGGTACCTAATACCCAGAATATCATGCATTGCACTTCACTCAAACATATTATTCCATGTACGAATGTGAAACATTTGTCGCCTACTCTTTTGAAGCAACGCATTGTTCCATTTCTCCAGACACCGCTATAATTCATATAAAAATAATAAAGAGAGCTCTAGGTTTTGAATCCCATACTAGGTGTTCACATACCATGACATCACCACATCAAAGGGCTGATCTTGTAAACAACATAACCGAGGTAAGTCTTCCTTCATTCTGATCCTATTCTGATATTTTTTTTAACCTCTAATTTCATCATATTTGTGCAGTGGGAGGAAAATGGGAAGAAAGCAATATCCCTAAACACTAGAGCAATCAACATAATATGGGGCGGTGAAGCCAGCAAAGACCGCTACTGGAAGAGAACAATCATCAAGGAAAGCGAAGATAAAGGTTTTTCATTTGAAGTGGTGGAACTGTTAGGTGTTTATTGGCTCGAACTCACAGGAAAAATCCCTCTAAATTTGCTCAGTCCAGGAACCACTTACACATTCTCTGTTACCCTCAAGCTCACACCAAATGTTTCAGGTTGGGAGAATAATTTGGTGATGTTTAGGCTTTCTTTTCCTGGAGACACTGCAAAAGTATCTGCGGTGGAGTTGTCTAGCTACTCGGATGGTGAGTGGGTAGATGTTCCTAATGGAGGACTGGTCTTCACCGTGCCTCAAGATAATAGCTATGGAATGCTATCGTTTGCTATTTATGAGTTTGAGGGTGAGGAATGGAAGAAGGGAGTAATTGTTAAGAATGTGAAATTTGTACCACAAGCACCACAAGCAGATCTTAGGACAATCATCTAGATTCAAAAGACGCTCTGAACATATCTTTACTGTTTACTTATATTTAGCAAACTGTATGTATATTAAACTATGAATAAAGATGGGTTGAGGTGCAAAGATCTAGCAGGCCAGTTGTTCCATCATTTGCAAACCTCAGGTGCTTGTGTAACTTTTAAGATGTCTTATTATTTTAATTTTTTTAGCTCATGGAGTGAAATATGATATTTTCTTTTAAAATATTTTGTGGACCAATGATTGATGCTAAAGATCATCAAATACTGGATGGTCAATTAGCTAGCTTACAACAAATTTTTTTGATCACAGTATGTGAGACATTTAAAAACATGGATTACTTTCTTGTGTTTTCCCCCTTTCACTAATGACTTTTCTGAAATTATTTTCCCTTCAATGCTTCTTATTGTAAAAAGGTTCACTCATCTTACCTCCAAACAAATATTTCTTCTTTTCATTAACTTAGATCTGCTTGATGGTAGAACATAAATAAACGAATGAACTTAGCCATCAACATATGCGGGGCTAGTGAAGAGGAACTTGGGAGTTTATAGAGGATGAAGTCAGATAAATAGACACCCAAGTTAAAAATCCTGAAAAGATGTACCTATTTCAACTAAACATAACAATCCCTCTATAAATAAATATCATGATAGAATCTGGTCATGATATAATATACAGTTTAAGTAGCTATTTAACACTCTTCACAATGGAATTCCTATATCTTAACATGTAAAAAACGCTAATCAAGTAGCCAAGCATACCCTTTTGGAATTTGACTCGAAGCTTTAACCAAATATGGAGCCTTTTTCTTCCCTGGAATTTCTCCAGAATGTATCCCTTATGAGTCCAAAAATACTCCTTTACCTTTAAGGGGATTCATCATTTGAAGGGAAGTATACTACTCAATAATTTCACATTTCAATTTTGTGATGTCTGTTATTGAGGGCATCCTTTTTCTCCCTCAATTGTTCCGCTGAAAACCGATATAGCCCAAATGCTATTACCCGATAAGGTTCCTGAAGAATCTATTCCAAAGACAAAACTAAATGCATATAGTACTTTTTGAGACCTCACCTCAAGCTTCCTTTGTACTCATCTTACAAATTTATTCTGTAGTAATCTAAAGTTGGAATAAATTCTTGAAAAGCTACCAAAAGCAGAAGGATGGAATAATAACTCTTTTACCTAACGTGCACAAAGCAATATTCCGTTTCCTTAGCTGTGAGCAAAATATGCTCATATCATTACCCCTTTTCCCAGCATTCGTCTCAATAAACACAAGAAGTTTCTCTTTATTCTTCTCCTTTCTATCATATTTAAACCTTACTAAACTGATTGGAGCTGACTTACTGTATGCCAAGAACTTATAAATCTCGAAGCTTCATATAATTTCTACACTGTTATAATTTTTCGGACTATAGCAGTGCAAAGAAGCCGCAGGAGAAAGGATGGGGAATAAACCATCACTAGAAGGCACCTCAGCACAGGTGGCCGAGGTTTCTAAAGAAGACACCAAGAAGCCAACTACTGAATCAGCTCCTGATGTATCTAAGACTTATGAAGAGCTTGTAGGGTCAAATTCTCGGACTATAGCTGAGGTTTCAAAGGCTAAAGAAAAGCCCTCAAAGCCAGTGGAAGAATGGAAGGAACCTGCAACAATTCCGAAGAAGATTCCACACATGTATCAAGCTATCATCAAGCAGGCAGATGACCCATCTGATGGTGGTCTTCTTGATAAAATCCAATCATCAGGGATATTTTTGAACAATAAAAAGCAGGCAAGTATCTGCATGCTGCATTTTGGGAAACTAGAATCAGAAATTTAATAATTTTTTTTGAGCATGATCTATGTTAGCTAGGTACTTCTATTAGAAGCCATACCTGTAAACCTCTCGGACACTTCTTGAATATACATATGTTGCCTATACTCACTTATATAATGCATGGTTTAATTTAACACATTGGATGTATATTCTACACTTCACATCTATTTCTTATATATTGATCTTATGTAAATGAGAAAACAATATTGATCTTATATAAAATTTTAATTTTAAT